AAAGCATTACCAACATCAAATGGAGTATCTGAACCATCACCTTCAACATCATCGATGGTTTTCTGTACAACAACAGAAGAACTTTCCTTGGCAATCTCAATCTGATAGTTGGACTTTTCAGCTTCACCAGCATAACCATCGATCTCTTTCTCAGCAGAATGACCATTAGAGTCTGGGATGACTCTCCTCCAGATTTTGTGAAAGACGGAGTAACAGCAGCAGGTTCAGGCACATGAACAACCTTTTTCGCCTTTCTAGTTTTTGGTGCAGCAGTTGCGAGGACCTTCTTGCGCTTCTTTGGAGATTTGACGACAGAGGGGGAACCTTTGTCTCCTTTTTCATTTGGTTCGCCAACTTCAGGTTGTGAGTCTTTCGATATTGAGGATATTTTAGGGCTTGGAGAAGTCTTAGTTGTGGGTTTAACAGGAGGTTGAATGTTCTCGGTTGCCATGACGGAGAGGGTTTGGTCTGGAGGAGTTTCTGTGCTCTGACTTCGCCGAGTTGAGCGCCGAGATGGCGGAGGAGCATTCTTCTTCGACTTAATCGTGCCCTGCTTGGATTTAGTCATTGTCAAGAAGTAAAGATCCTCTTGAAGAAGGAATGTTAGAGAGATTTTAGAAAGATGAACAAAATAGCGATAATGATAGATATGAGAGAGAAGCAAAGGTGATATGGATGATATAGAAAACTAAAATCATAGTTACCAAGGCAGTTACAAGATGGTTCGACTCATAAAATTTGACCAACACAGCGTAGGATATTAAAATCGTTCCCTCCAAACAGAAACTAATCAACATAGTTACCATCTATAACGCATGAAGTTTCAGACACAAATATTGGCCAAATCATGGACCAAAAACAATTTTAGGCTCAAGATCGAAATAATATATGCCATGAGAAAAACTGGATGCACATGCCTAAAATGGATACTTAACACGCAATACCCTAAAATTTTCTTTTCACGCAATACTGAAAACATGCATTAATTGATTGACCCACAAATCTTCCAAAATCAATTTGATACGAGCTCGACACTAACAAGATGATGAGAAAAATAGATTCTCTCCGTGAACAACTCAGCCCTTATTGCTCCGACTTTTATATAACACGGAATTAATATAAGTTCATTCATCACTTTCTCTTAGCAACAAACGAAATTTTCGTTCGCAATTCAGCCCCAATACTTATGATGAACTTACTCCGTTCTATGAACTTCCACACCAATTCACTTACTAACATCAACTATACGCCAATGTCAAGCCCATTACTTGAGGTGTGAATCATCCCGCAAAAAGTTTTAATTTTGAACAAGCTGAGAAGATATCAGGATGGCCAACCTTATTTCACCAGAAAACATTCATTCTTAGAATGTTTACCTGTAGCTATCACACCTCGATTATTATTGGACACGTAACTCGTTTCACAAGTGATCAAGGAAGCACCTCATGTGATAGTTGCCCGATGCCTATTTTCACGAGAGCAGCTCTTACAGGTGTATCAAAATGGTCATCATGACGAGCTCTTACAAACTGACCAGTTAGAATTCACGGACCACCAATCAACAAACTTAACAATAAACGATCAGAGAAGAATTCTAGGGATGAACCTACATACTAAGATGCCTAAAAAACAGAAAAGATCCTATATGCAATAGACACAATATATATATAGAAATGCAACTGACACAATGCACATAAATCATATAACACACATTCCTAAAGATTTTCTTAGGGAAAAAAATCGTTTCGAATCAAGAGCTTTAGTGAAAATATCAGCAAGCTGATCATCTGTAGGTACATGATCGAACACAATAACCCCATCTTCTACCAACTTACGAATAAAATGATAACGAATGTCAATATGCTTTGTACGAGAATGTTGGACAGGATTTTTCGAAATGTTTATAGCACTCGTGTTGTCACAGAAAAGTTGAGCCGAATGAACGTTCATACCATACTCAGATAGAATCTGTTTCATCCATACCAACTGAGAGCAGCAGCTTCCAGCAGAAATGTACTCGACTTCAGTAGTAGAAAGGGAGATGCAGTTTTGTTTCTTGCAAAACCAAGATACCAAGTTTGATCCTATGAAAAAACACCCACCAGAGGTACTTTTTCGATCATCAAGATTTCCAGCCCAGTCAGCGTCACAATAACCTGCAAGATGTAAGTTAGTATCAGCAGAGTAGATTAAACCATACTCTGTTGTACCTCCAATGTACTTTATGATATGCTTGACTGCTTTCATATGTGATTCCTTGGGGGCAGCCTGATACCTGGCACACAATCCAACGCTAAAGCAAATGTCAGGTCTACTAGCAGTGAGATATAAAAGATACCAATCATACTTCTGTATTAAGTTTGATCAATAGATGTACCTTCATCATCTTTGGACACTTTTACATGAGTGCCCATGGGAGTTTGAGGACATTTAGCATTTTCAAGACCAAACTTTTTAACAAGGTTTTTTGCATACTTACCCTGATGTAAGAAAATACCGTCTTTACCTTGCTTTACCTGAAGTCCAAGAAAGTACGAAAGTTCACCGACCAGACTCATCTCGAATTCAGACGACATAAGTTTCACAAAGTGATTGACCAGCTTCTTGGATGTTGATCCAAAGATGATGTCATCGAAATAGATTTGAACAGCCAATAGGTCCTCATTCGTTCGAAGAGCAAAGAATGTCTGATCTACTCCTCCTATCTTGAATCCCTTTTCCAGAAGGTGCATGGTAAGGCGTTCATACCATGCACGAGGAGCTTGCTTTAATCAGTACAATGCTTTCTTAAGCCTGTAGACATGATTCGGATTCTTGGGATCTTTGAACCCTTCAGGCTGCTTCACGTAAGCCTCTTCATGTAATATCCCATTCAGAAAAGCAGACATCACGTCCATCTGATAAACAATGAACTTCATTATACAAGCAATAGGTAGAAATATGCGTATCGATTCAAGTCTAGCAACGGGGGCAAAGGTTTCATCAAAATCAATCCCTTGGGTCTGAGTGTAGCCTTGAGCTACTAGTCTCGCCTTGTTCTGTGTCACATTCCCGAAATCATTAGTTTTGTTCTTGAAGATCCACTTGGTTCCGATTATATTTCCCGAGGAAGGTTTAGGGACTAACTCCCAGACATTGTTTCTAGTGAATTTCTCCAGTTCCTCCTGCATGGCTAAGATCCAACAATCGTCTTTCAGAGCCTCTTTAGCATTCTTGGGTTCAAGGAGTGAGGTGTAGCAGGCATAATGTGAGACTCCCATAAGTTCTTAGACTGACGTCTTCGAGTTTCTGGTTACTCTCTCATTTATGTCACCAATGACTTGCTCGGATGGATGGTCTTTCTGAACCCTTAAGGGAGGATCACGCCTAAGTGACACAGAACCTTCTTGAGTCGCAGGGACAGTGTAGTCAGTTGATGTTTCAGCATCCCCAGCAGAAGGTTCAGCTGTCTTCTTGTCTGTAGAACTCTTAATACCCTGAGTATCCTGCAATGCCTCAACAATTTCAAACTAATTAAAGGATACAAAAGAACTAACTTGAGATTTTTTTTTTTATTTTTTATTTTTATCAAAGATTACATTTATTGACTCAATCACAGTGGAGGTACTTGTGTTGTAAACACGATACGCTCGACTATTGTTAGAGTAACCAAGAAAGAATCCAATATCCGATTTTGTATCGAACTTCCCAAGTTGGACACGATCATTATAGATAAAGCATTTACACCCGAAAATATGCAAGTGATTGAGGTTAGGGCTCTTACCTTTCCAGAGTTCATATGAAGTCAGACCAATTCCTCGACGAAGGTACACACGATTCACTAGGTAGCATGCTGTATTGATTGCCTCATCCCACCACCTGGAAGAAATATTTTCGAGTTCAACATGACTCTAGCCATTTCTTGTAGAGTGTGATTCTTCCTTTCTTCAACTCCATTTTGCTGAGGAGTTTTAGGAGCCGAGAACTCGTGACTAATACCCAGAGACTCACAAAATTCAGTAAACTTAGAGTTTGCAAACTCTCTTCCATGATCGCTCCGAACACTTATTATGGGAAAACGTTTCTCAGTTTGAACCTTCAACCAAAGTGACTTAAAGGAAGAGAATGGGTCAGACTTTTCACGCAAAAAATCAACCCAAGTATATCGAGAGAAATCATCAACACACAAAAAAATATACTTTTTACCTTGATAGCTTTCTACCTGAATGGGACCCATGAGATCCATGTGAAGAAGCTCTAGGATCTGTTTAGACACAATATGGTTCAGTGACTTGTGGGATGTCCTCGTTTGCTTACCTAGTTGACAAGGTACACAAATTGGCTGGTCCTTCATAGCAATTTTTGGAACACCCCTGACTACACCTGCATTGGTCAATTTGACAAGGTGAGAGTATCCAATATGTCCTAGGCGTTGATGCCATATTTCAGGTTCGCTCACATTTGAGAAAAGGCATTTTTTATTAACATCAACAAGATAACAGTTATATGTTGAACGAGAACTTGTAAGTACACAAGAACCTTCACTGTCATTTACATAACACTTGTCACAAGAGAAACTGACACTAAGGCCTTGATCACAGAGTTGACTCACACTCAACAGATTTGCCTTTAGCTTATCAACAAGTAACACATCAGTTAGTTTAGGTATTCCACCCAAATTTAAACAGCCAGTTCCAATAACCTTATTGCTCACTCCATCACCAAATGTGACTTCCCCATTTGAACTGGGTTGAATGTTCATCAAGTAAGAAGGTTCACCAGTCATGTGTCTAGAGCAGCCGCTGTCCAAATACCACTTACCTTTCAGAGAGGTCCTGAGGGACAGAACAGAGGCAAAACAGTTGAAGGATTTCTTAGCAACCCACACTTGATGATTTTTGGTACAGTTATTTGAGAGGGTCCTGGAATGAACCTTCACTGGAATCCCAGACTGATTCCAACAGCTAACATTAAAGGTCATGCTACATTTTATAGCATTTGGGTCTTATGTGACCAGTTACACCACAGTAATGACAGATAGTTACAAAGTTATGGTGAGTTTTAATAACAGATTTCTGCTTGGGAGAATGAACCTTTAAGGGAGATTGTGGAGATGGAGGTTTACTTACAGTGCTTTTTACAAACCTGTCAAACACGTTTCTGGAAGGTCTCCCATGGAGGTTCAAGCCTCCAACTCCAGGTTTGTCACCAAATCCAAGACGGGTATGTTTTGCATTTGAAGATCCAGTTGAGCACTGAGGAATGTCTTCCCTACCAGTGTACCCTATTCCAGTAAGATCTCCATGTTGTCTTCCCAAGGAAAGAAGTTCATTCAGATCTGCTTTTTCCTTGTTCAGTTTTCGAACAACTTCTGTAGTTCGGTTCAACTCAACAGAGTTTGCCTTCAGTTTGCTTTCCATGCTAGCATGTTCGTTCATCATCCAATCAACTTCATTTTTTAGTAGTACAATTTCTTGGGTCCGCTCGGCAAGAAGTTTCTGAGTAGAGAATAGTTCGGTCCTCAAGAATTCAATGGTTTGAGCATTTTCCAGTTCGTCTTGTTTAGCAAGTTTGACACCGCTCTCAAGGATGCAAGTTCGTGCCTTAGCAGTATCCAGTTCACATCTTCAGTAGCAGTGGAGGTGGTCGTGTTGTCGTAGGCACCCAAATCAACCTTCTTTAAAAATATGTAGTAGCGTGAGCAAGGATCATATCCACGGGGAATAATTTAATTAAATGACCGTAACTATGTGATTAATATGAGGAGAATTGATTTATAATCCTAATTATCTAATTAACAAGAAAATGAAGAAGATATTGGTAAAAGATTATTAAATAAAAGACTCAAAAGTAACAACAAGATGAAGATGAATATATAGGTAAAGTGCTCCGATTGAATTGATTTCTACCCCGAATTATTCTACTGATCCTTAATGCAAATATTATCAATTCATAAATACGTAGATGCCGTTGAATGATGAATTCTGACTCCTAAATTGGCCATGCAAAATAAATCCTCCTACACAACCATTATTACTAGGCAATTCCCAATATCGTGCAAAATTATCTTAGCAATAGCATTAAGAAGTAGAGCCCGACAACACAAGAAACAAATAACTAATCCGTTAAATGCTAACTTGTATAATTATTTTGCCTAAGAATGCTAATGCCTAAATCTGGTCAATTACCACACTCAGCTGCTTATTACGATAAATAAATCATCTAAATCCGACTCAATATCTACCAAGCAATAGATTAAGTGCATAAGACAATGTTGATCAGGCTACGATCCTAACACAAAACCATAAATATGAACACACAAAAAAATTAATACGAAATATGAATTAATAGATAAAAACTAATTAGATCTCACAGTATCAAGTTCGGGGTTTCAATCGTATTCAACCGAAGCAAAAGAAAACTAGCCGCGCAGGGCTTCCATAAAGTCTAGCAAAAGAATATCCAAAAGTCTAGAGAAAAAGAAGTGAGAACTTGAAGTTGCTGCTCTTCCCCAGTTTTCTGTCTGCTCCCTTGCGGCTCTTACGTACTGTGTAGGTTTTTCATAAAGTCTCATATATGCTACGACGTCCTTAGTAGCAAGAATGGGCCTAGCAATAATAGGCCCACATCCAAAATAACTCGCAGCACTAGATGAGTGATCTGTTCCTTCGAAGTCCAACATTGCCATGTCCATCAAAATTCTACTGCTGCCATGTTGGTTATAACGATCAACTGCACACAAAATTCCAACAATGGTAGTTTCCACTCAACATTATAAGATAAGGTCGAAAATAAATTAATTAAGCACAAATATCCAACATATTTTCTCAGTTACATCACAAAAGTAGCACGTATTTTCGACTCATCAAACATCCCCACGCTTAAAACGATGCTTGTCCTCAAGCATCAAGTCAAATCTATTATCTCAACTCATAATCATCATCTATCATTCAATGCCAAGTCAAAACATAAAGCAAGCATCAGCACACAAGTCAAACTTGAGTCCCCATCAACCAACCAACGAGAAATATACCCAACAACCACGTAACTTAAACACATGGAAATCAACACTTCTCACGAGATTCACTCTTTCACTCAAAGTGTATAGGCTAAAGGTGAAGTGTACGCTCAAGTCAAGATATAGAAGACTTTTACCATAAGCTTGCAAAGATATCACGTCCAATCACCCAAAATGAATAAGAATAAACACAAAATCAAAGGGGTAAATAAGGTTGTAGTGAGGCTTAGGGTAAGGTGGGATAAGAAAGGGAAGGGCTAACAAAATCAAACCAACCACACAAACTCATATAAACCAAGCTCAATACAAGATGATCATGCTATCTCAATAAACAACCCACATAAATAAAAATAAAAATAGAAAACTTTACACAATGCCTGCTTTATTTTTCTCTTTTTTTTTTTAGATTTTTTTTTTCAGTTTTTCTGTTTTCATTTTTTTTCCTTTGTTTTTTTTTTCAGCTTCTTGTTCAGCTTCTTTTTTTTTTTCATTTTTTTTAAATAATACGAAACTGAAAATAAAATAGCTTACGTCGGATAACGAGACTACGTAGAAGGCACGACCACCTCAAAGTACACAATAACATGATCTCTTCTTCATCTAAGAGAAATTTATATAATTGATTCGATCCAAGGTTCAAAAGATGGCATCAAGAAAAGAATTTCATAGCTTATGATGTGGTTATAAATCAAAGAAAAGTCTAAGGCTCAAAAGGGGCTTACTATTGATTCATGAAAAAGGGTAGGCTTCAAAAGAGAGGATATAAAGAGAAAAGGCTAGTCTTATGTACCCTTATTAAGATTTTATGCATTCGATTTCATCAAAGGTGTACACATAGACATGCATAGCAAAGCAAGTTCTAGAAAAGCCAACTAGTCGAGACATCACACATTTAAGAAAATGGAGCATGATATTCAATATATGCTCATAGGCTCAAATCTCACCAACAAAAGGTAGCGAGTGTTAATTCAACGCATCTCCATCACATAGTCATTAAGTAATATTCATCATCATGTAGCATCAAGGGCTCAAACAAAACAAATGTGCAGGCGGAAGAAGATTGTTCCAACAAATTGGCATAAATGAATCGATAACAATCACAAGCGAATAACAGACTATGTATAATACACTTTCATATCACGGAAACAACACACCATCAAAAACAACTGCAAGCATATTCCAAATGAAAGACTAGAGGACAGAGAAATACTCACAGAGATTCATCATTGTGGAGGCAGTTGCCTTGCATGCATCAGGAGCAGGAGCTCTCGAATATCCGCCCGCATCTCCATCACAATCGATCTCAAATCCTCATCTCCATCGTGACGTGCGCGTCTCTTTAGATTCCTAGTACCAGTACTAGGAGTGATCCTACCCGAGGTGAATGGTGAATGAAGCATCTTCAAATTCTCGAGACACCATGGTGTGGTAAGCTGTGGCGATGGCAAGGGATAATGAACCTTGGGAGTAACGCCCCAAGAGTAAGCAGTACCATCTCGCTAAAGAACTCCCATGTGGTCCAGTGTTGCTTCATCAACCTTTGGGTTCTAATTAAGAACGACATAATCGTCAAAGTTTACACCACATGCCTTCACGATAGCAGTCACGATCCCCCCTACCAAAATAGCACCCCGATTTTGCTCTTGGACTCCGGCCAAATGGCTCATCAGGTAGTAGCTCGAACTTAGCTTCTGTCGATTGAGCATAGCCCACAAGAACTCTAGCTCTATCTGGCGCATTACATTGCGACTCGCTTGTCGGCAAAGTTGGTCCCAGTCATCACCCGCTGTAATAACGAAGTGTCGGGTTGCGAATCGAAGTTGCTTTCGCATTGCTCGCCTGATAGGGGTCATTTTCCACTGTAATACTATGCCAAAAATCTGTATGATTAAACCCTTCTGGCATTCCTCGTAGACCCCCAGACACAAACCCCAAAACCCGATCAACTTGTATGAGGCTCCAATTGTACTCCTTTCTTCCCAAATAAAACCGAATCACCCCACCGGCTTTACTGTCATTGAACTTGACATGCAGAGAGCTTAAAAATTTGAGTGTCAACTCGGGATAGGTCGAGAAACACCCCGTCATGAACTTGGACCATCCTTGGGTATCGAATAAACTCATCACATCTTCCAACATCCCCAATCGACTGAGGATCCCCTCATCCATATAAACACTAGGTTTGATTTTTTTGTTATTGTGTATATTTGTGTATTTACCGTATTAGCCTTAGGTTATCTGTAGCCCTAATTTTGTGTATATATTTGTGGTTTATAGAGAGTTGTATGATCCGATTGAGATGATTTTCAGTACAACATTCGTATCATCTCTTTCATATCATGGCATCAGAGCCTATTTTTTTTCAGATCACAATTTTTTCTGGCTCAATCTAATGGCTCCTATCCATTCCGATTGATATTATTTGTGAAGGGAGCACGATTTTACTGTTACTTTGCAGATTTCAATTAAAAAAAAAAATTGTCCAAGCTTCAAGGCCACTGCTCAAATCCTTGTGATTTGGTTCATTCTCTCAAGATTTTTGCTGTCCACAAACGAAAAAAAAAATAATAATAATTAGAAGAAAAGTCCAAATTTGCGGCCATCTTTTTTTTTTTTTGTTTTCTTCTGTAAACCTTCAATTGAGATTTGGGGTAAATTGTGTGTGCGTGTCGCCAAAAAAAAAAAAAGGGGACTCAGCCTTGCTGCTGCTTTGTTTATTTCACGTATTGATTTGTCATGGTTACGTTTTCAACATCTAATTCTGGCGGTGGCCGTTATGGTGGAAGTCACGACAAGAGTGGTGCTCGTGCGGATGCGGCATTCTCCAGTAGTATTGGTGATTCGTTTGTTGCCGGTTATGTTTGTTCTTCTACTGCTAATGCAGTTTTGAGTGGTTCTGATCGCCTTGCACTTGGTAGTTTAACCAATGAACAATGGGCTCACTTTGTGTTTTTGATTAATTCCGCTAAACAAAATATTCCAGGTACGGGTGGTTTATTTGATTGGATGTACGATTGTGGGGCAACTCATCATATGACAGGGTTCCTGGAATTTATTTCTGATGTTCGAGATATTCCCGCCGGTCCTGTTCAATTGCCTAATGGTTCCCTGACTATGGCTAGCAAGGCTGGGACCGTTTATTTGGGATCTCATATCACTCTTTATGATGTTTTATACGTTCCAAGCCTTCGGTACAGCTTGATTTCACTATATCAGCTGTTGGATCGCTCTGACTGCACTGCTCAGTTTACTAGCAAATTTTGTGTTATCCAGGACCGCACTTCACGGAATGTGATTGGCGCGGGTGAGCAGTTGAGGGGTCTCTACTTCTTTCGAGGGACAGTCTCTACGGCAGTTTCTTGTGTTCGAAACGTTTCTGTCGATGTGTGGCATCAACGTTTGGGTCATCCGTCTGCTCAAGTATTGTCCCAGGTTCCTGTTATTGACTTAATTCTCGTAATTTGCATAAATCGTGTGATGCTTGCTTTCGTGCTAAACAACATCGTCGCAGTTTTCCTCTCAGTCAGACTGTTAGTCATGAGACTTTTCATTTGATTTCTTGTGATTTATGGGGTCCGTATCGTGTTCCGTCTTTCTGTGGTGCACGATATTTTTTTACTATTGTGGATGATTGTTCTCATGGAACATGGGTTTATTTATTGAATAATAAGACGAATGTTGTTTCCACATTGCTAAATTTCTTTTCTATGATTAAGCGGCAATTTGATGAATTGGTGCGTGTTGTTCGTAGTGATAATGGAAGCGAGTTCATGTGTTTGGCCTCTTAGTTTCGTCGTCAAGGGATTTTGCATGAGACTTCTTGTGTAGGCACCCCTCAGCAAAATGGGCGTGTGGAACGTACACATCAGCATATTCTTAATGTAGCTCGTGCTTTGCGTTTCCGGGCTCATCTACATCTTCCTTTTTGGGGTCATTGTGTTTTGACTGCGGTCTATCTGATAAATCGAACTCCTTCCTCGGTTTTACATGGTAAGACACCATATGAGATTCTTTATGGTTCGTCTCCTTCCTTGTCTCATTTGTGGGTTTTTGGTTGCCTTTGCTATGCTCATAACCAAGATCATAATGATGACAAGTTTGCTGCTCGGAGTCGTCGTTGTCTATTTGTTGGTTACCCTTTTGGAAAAAAGGGATGGGGTTTGTATGATTTGGATCGTCAGATTTTCTTTGTCTCTCGTGATGTGGAGTTTCTTGAGACTGAATTCCCATATCAATTAGACTCGTCTGAGCTAGATCCTTTGCCACTGCCTCTTGTTGTGCCGGTTTCTTCTGCACCGAATGAGGATGAGGATCTTCATGTTGTCTTTATGCCTCATGTTTCTCCTGATACTGGGTCTTCTGCTACTGATATGTGCCTATCTGATGACCGG